GCCCTTGAACGAACACCCCAATCACGTAGGACCATGCAACCCTGCGGGTCGAACCCTCGAGCTCCCCACCGTTCTTCTGCCCTGCTCATCTACGCCCTGCGCTGCCCGCACCTCGCGCTGACAACCCGTCGCCTCTCGCGCTATAAATTCGCGCAACCCTCTCTTCTCCCTCTCTTTGATCTCGGCTGCAATGCTGCGCGAGCTATGAGCGAAAGTCCGCGGCGCCGAATAGGCTCGACGAGACCAAGGACGGGCGGAGTGGCGACGTGGGGTGGACCCGCGGTAGTCTCGGGGCGAAGCAGTCAGAGGGACTAAGCAGTGGTGGGGATTGGACGCCGGCCGCGGCAGGGCCTTGTGGCTATGGTGGTCGGTGGTCTTGGGAGGTTTGAAGGCTGCGCCTGGGGGCGACAGTTAATTGAATTTTTTGTGTACAAGAAGGACTCGCTTTTATCTCCATTGCTGCTTTGTCTATGCATGTTGTGTGTGTGAAGCCCTTAATGATGGGAGTTGGTTGTGCGCATGAGTGATGTCGAAGGTATATGGATGATTAGATGTCTTGTCAAAGGTTGTTGATTGCATGCCTGTATGTGTGTGCGTACTTATCTGGGTGGGGATGGGGGAACGGAACTGGAGGACCGTCTGCTTAGAAGTATGAGTGTGTTGATCCTGTTGTTCCCCTCCCCTCCGCGGCCTTTCCTGCGCGCACGCGCAGTCTCGGTGTAACTCACTCTCTCTCTCTCTCTCTATCGCCTTTCTTTTTGAACTAATAGTCATCGCTTTTGGAACTTCTCGTCCCTGCACCGGTGACGCCAACCGCCTGCGTCCGCGCGCGCGGTCGACTCCCCCGGAAGGGGAAGAGCTTAGATTTTGTCATCTTCCMCCGACGCACCCACTTTTGAGAGAAGAGAGTTGCGTCGAGTGTTGTATGGAGTCGGTGTTGGYTCGGATGACCKGGMGCGCGGGATCTTGCCCGTGTTCATCGCGTACCTCCGATCGTCTCATCTCGCTACCGACCTTCCCCATCGCWGATGACGACARYGTCTACTGCGATGCRRAYGTACRGCRCKSKSTGAGGCAGACGGAGCAAGTGTGTTGGCAARACCCGCCTCGGGCTTGTGATATAAGGGGGAACGGGTTTGTCTTGATTGATCGTTTTGATTCCCCGACTCTAATATTGCCCTATACGGGATTAACGGTGTTGCCCTGGTCGGCTGCTCACGCCGCGTGGCGGCCGCGGTTTGATTGTCACTGGTGTCGCCAGGGGGGCTCGTGTTCTTGGCGACGCTTGGTCCTGGGTTACGAGGGAGCGACACGTTTCCACGAGCTCTCCTGTAATGGGGGGGCGCTGCCCGCGCAATTTCGAATTGGGATGCCGACGAGTCCTCCTGCCGTTTCACCCTCTCGGAAACTTCCGCGCGGACTTTGCGAGTCCGACGCCGAGGCTTGAAGACCTCGAACCAACCACCTCTCAGCAAAAACCCGATGGTCCGGTCACTTCGTGTGGCCGATGCCGAGGCCGGAAGGCTTCGAACCCACCACCTATCCCCCAACCCATGACGGCCGGAGTTTCTGTCTTCCGCCGCCATGGCCCTCTCCCCTTGATGCCTTTTTTTCCGTCCTGATGCACGACGGCAAATTTTTTTTGCGAAAACCCTTCTGATTTTGTCGTTTCGGAGTGATCCGACCCCCACGGGACTTCGCGACGACAGATCGACTCCGGGGTAACCTCTGGCACGAAACGAGAGCCTCCCGTTCCGTCCGGGAGACTCAATCCCTACGGCCAAAAATCCTCGGCCACGCCCCTCCTAGAACTCTGATCGGCGACCCAGTACGGGAAGCAGTGAGGGGGCGTGAGGTTGCGTATCACAGAGTAAGAGTTGCAGACCTATGGGACTGCATCAGACAATGTTGAAAATCGGTTGAAGAACTGAAACTCTCTCTGGGTAGGCTCAGATTAGTTCCTGAAAGACTTCTGTCCATAATTACAGCCATACCAGCTTCGTGGTTTCACATGCTCAGGAAAACAGTGATACCTTCAGACGGGCTGTGGTGTAGGAAAACTGTCCCACAACAGGAGAACACAATCATCCATGTCTTGGCTTCATTGGGTCAAGAAGGTTTTGCTGCAGAAGAATGGGTTAGGAGAGAGGATTTCACCTTGAAATTCACAAAGGAACTAGAATATAAGAGGGATTTCAGGTTAGACTCCTTGAATGGGTATATAGAGATCCGAGTAAGTCACAAGGTTGAGAGGGCAACAACAGCCTGAGGGGGTATTTTGATCCGAAAAGCTCTCCTCCCCGTCGGAGATTATCCCTTGCAACTCTCAACGATAGACCCCCAGTCAATAGGTTGGTAGGTGGCCGCAGCCAAAAAACGAATTTCACTTGAGGAGTATACTCCCAAAACTGGCACTGCTGTTACCAGGAGAAGAACCCTACGGCAACAGTCCAAAGGAGAAGGGAAGATCAGAACTTACTTTCGATCTCTTAAGGCCAACTACAGTCATTATGGAGACAGATGAAAAATCAGTAGTCTCAGAAGCTGGCCAGCATGCTCTGGTTGCAGACTCTGTTAGCAACGGCCACAACTGTAAGACTATGTAAGAGAGGAATGAAGATTTCGCCAGCATGTGCAAGGGTGTGGGTGGATGTGGGAGACTGATAGACACCTGCGGATTACATGCCCAAAGTCAGACAGGCTTTGGGGTTGGTCGAGGAAGCATTGGAACAAACTCTGCAGGGGGGATTTCCAATGGACAGATGAGTTGATACTAACAGGAATACACAATGCAGTGAAGGAGAGTGAAACAGACTGGCTGTATGTAGCCCAAGCGGCCAGGGCAGTAGTCATGAAAGTGATATGGGACGACCGCAATGACAAGATCTTCAAAGCAAGAAGCCCCGAAAGTGCGGCCCTTCAAGGCAAAATAGAATACCAACTGAGACCAACGGTAATCAGCGACTGGACACATCGGTCTACAAAAGGGAGGAAAGAGAATACAAGAAGTTGGCTGATGCGGACGTGGTGCAGAAACGGTGTCCTCGCAAAAATAGACCTTACGGGCAAAATCACTTCTTTTTTCTTTGGGGGGAGCTACAAGAGCTCAGGGACGCTGGACCCGTTTTCCAGGAGCGGACTGACTGATGGGCTCAGTACTCTGTTGTCTCGGTCCAGTCTCCGGGTTGTTTTTATGGGGAATTCCCGGCCCCAATTTCCTTGAGTAATAAACCCTTCAGCTTCTCAAAAAAAAAAAAAAAAAAAAAAAGAAGCTTTGCAGGGGTAGTGCTCTTGGGAGCCACATTCTGACAGCTCCCGAATTCAATCTGACAGGTTGAACTCGCTACCTGGTTTGGCGATGCTGCACTCCCCAAGGCGGGCGGCCGGGATCGCGAAACGGAGCTGCTCTAATGTGCGTTGATTACGTGGTCAGACCTCTCCGTAGGCATAGCTGAAGCGACGCAAGGGCGCTTGGGGGTGCGGGACTTCACATGATGGGTTCCTGGCTATGGCTGACGGGTTCCTGGCTATGACTGACCTCGACCGGC